GTCTCGCCGGGGTGCACTCGCGCAGATATGAAGATCACCTATATGTTCCGATTGGGTGTAATTTAGGCATATACGGTGACATCTGGATTTTTATCTTGTTTTTTTTTTATAATTTGTACTTTGTATGGAGTTCGTATGTGTATTTTGTTACTATTAAATTATTTAAAATAAGGATACCTTCTTGTTCTGAAACTTGAACGGCCTCTCCTGGTTCTCCGGGAAGAGATTCTTGAGCCTCTCCTCGCGCTCCGTCGTTATCCCGTGATGCGATGTTATAGTTAACAAGTCTACTCGCCTTCCTAAAATTACATTATAATAATTACGCTATCAGATCCATGACTGCATCAAACAAGTTCTTGATCTAATTAAAATTATATAAAATAAGTTGAAAATACAGAAGTTAAGAAGTTAAAGAGATTTTATGAAACCATTAATAACTGGTTACACCTACTGAAGTGATTTGACTTCAGGATAAGAAACGAAGACAACGTCCACGCCGAATTAAAAAAACTTAGCAAGTAGCTCAATGTTCAACCAGATTTTGTTGTGCAGCTGTGCCAAATTTCATTGAATTTTGTTAAGCTGTTCTGGAGATACCTTCTTACAAACATCCATCTAAACTTTCACATTTATAATGTTAGTAAGATTTACCTTCAAGTGAGTAAGTAAGACATTCGCGGCAGTAGTATATATCATCAGGTGACTGTGGCGCAGGCAGCGGCAGCATCTTCCCATCCACAGCATTCAGTGCTAGCTGCAGCTCAGCAAACGAGTAAGGATATGTGAACGCAAAGAACGTCGTCGCTTTAGGATTCTCTGCCGTCTTATATTTAAAACTTAGTGTGAATGTATTATCGTCCGTCTGAAATAAAAAATAATAATATTATTTTTAAATTTTCTGGATCCGTATTTAAAAGACTAATGAACTCATAGAAGTAAGATCATCAACCTGTACGAGATAAATTATATTTAATTTCTATAGCTCAAAGAGTTTATGGCATTTTAGACATAGGAGAGTTTACTTTAGTAGCAGTTAGTTTTATTGATGGTAAAAATACTGATTTTGATTTTGTCTTTCCTTACAATGAAGTTTAAAAACTAATATTTAATCTATCTTTATGGGTAAAATTATAATGTCCATCCAACATGTACTTACAGAGTGAACTGGGCGGTCCTTTATCCTTTCCCACTGAGGCTTGCCGGGTAATGTCCTAGTGACAGGTGCCATACCCTGGTTGTACATTTTGCCTTGTTTGTTTAGGTTTATCAAGTTAAGTCGAACCTATGGAAATAAAACAATATTGATGTTCATGCTGTTTACTCCAGCACCAAATAAGAATCTCAAAGGAGATAACAATTCTACAAGAACAAGTTTGTTCATTTGATGTTATTATTTTCTTATATTAAACTAGACTTATTATAATTTTTTTTATAAGGTAAGGGGGCAAATAAGCAGCCAATCCCAATGCAATGGACATCCACAATACCAGAGGACCCGCAGATGCATTGCTGGCTTCATATGATATATAAGGACCTTTGTTCTGCCTTTTTTATTTTATATTTATAAATATTACATTACCAGTACACCAGGTTGACTCGCTTGAATGCCAAAATAGAACCAGGTGCGGTTTCCGTTTTCAAACTCTGTCCCGGCACAATCCGGTCTTGTCCATAAATTAAACTCATAATCAGGTGTTTCTGGAGAATTGGTTTTTAAATTTAAACTCGGAGCTAAAAAGTAAGTGTACAATGTCTATAACTTGTTTTATTAATAAAACAGATTTAAAAATAATCTGTTTTGGAAAATGGGAATTTGAACATATTAATCTTAAACTGTTATATAAATCACAATTTAATCTGATATTATCATTTAAATAAACACAACGCAGTGTTTGCAAGCAAAGTGAAGTGTAGTGAAAAAGAAAAAAATGAGTTATTCGTAAAAAACTATGACATTGAACTCACCGATTAGTTCCGAGGGAACTTGTTCTACATGGCCCAAATTCCCGGAATCGAAATTGTGTATAAAATAAAATCCTGCACACTCAATTATGCTTTTATTATCCATAACTGTTAATGTTAACTACATTATACAAAACAGACACAAATGACTCGTCAAAACGATAGGTTCTTTATCCGCATTCACTTGAACAATTTGAATCACGAAAAATTTAATTTTGTCATTTAGTTTGCCAATTTATTGACATCCAAAATAAGACTTCACTGTTTTTCTAAACAAAATTACGTAATTTTGTTGACATCGATTGACGGATAACAGCTGATTTGCTTTATTGGCAAATTGAAATCTTTTTATTATTTTTAATTATATTAAATTAATTATGGTACGTTAAATAGCTTCTTATTTACTTGTAAATTTTTTACGTTGTTATCAAATTACACTTTATTGTTTAATGTTTGCGATCACTAATGAATGAAGTGATAGTTTTCCTATTGTAAATTTTATTTCAAGATGGCTGCCGGGGAGGTACATTTACAAACACGTTCCGAATCGCGATTTCGACTGCCAGTATGATGGTTTTTTTGTTGCACAAACATTACAGTTTTCGTGACAAAGTACAAAGCGGAATATTTTTATAATCTCGTATTTTGCTTTTAGATATCGAATATCCATAATAAACATAAAAATACTTAGATATTTTTGCCTCATGCCTCATTACATCATGCCAGTATTTACAGTAGGACAGTAGCGCTCAAAATCAGCGCTGGCATGCATCATCATAATCATTATTATGTCCCCACTGAGGGGCTCGGAGCCTACTCCAAGTTAACGGTTACCAGGACATAGTCAACCACGCTGTCCCAGTGCGGGTTGGTTGACTTCACACATTTCTTTGAATTTCTTCGCAGATATGTGCAGGTTGCATACCGATGTTTTCCTTCACCATAAGGACGTCGGATATATGTACATACGTAAATCGAAAATTGAAAAACACATTGGTACATAGCGGGATTTGAACTCAGGACTTGCAGGTTACAATTCAAGTGCTTATACCCCTGAGCCACCAACGCCCCTGGCATACAATTTGCAGTTAACGTAAAGGCATTCTAAAGATGGGAATAGCACGGCTCTTTGATTCTCGGGGGCCACGTGTACTGCACGACAGTTTTAGACAGGTCAGCCAACGTTAACCTATATTTACATGACCCATAAATGTTTGGACTGTTTGCTTATTGTATTGAAACTAATTTTCATTAAGATTTAGAGCCCATTAGCGTTACGGAGATAGCTTTAGTGAAAACTTTAGTAATAAAAATAACTTTCTTTCACATTACAGCGGCGGCCGTGAATTTGGTTTACAGTTGGATCACAGCAGTTGCCTCCAGTACCGAACTTAGCGCATTGCTATTGCAGCAATCTGATTGAAAAGCAGGCGGTATCCGCAGGCAAGCAGCATAAAGCATTAGGCTTTATCCTTAATACTGCGGATTATTTCGCTATAATTTATATTATAATAATTTTAGACCAGCAGTTATTTTTGATTCTCTAAAAGGTAGGAACATTGAAAAGAAAAAACAAATTCATTTTAATCCAAACTTGTATTTTTTCGTCATACTTATATCTATAACAATATTAAATAAGCTTAATTAAGTATAATATAGTATAATTCACTTAGGCGTGGTATTTAATTATGGATTATAAAAAATTACATTTCGTATAATTTTTAATAACTCGGCCAATAAATGCCTTCATCACCAAAACTTAGTTCTATGAATAATTATACCTACATTCAGCTACATTTCTTGTCTTCAAACATTCATTCACTCCACTAAATTGTCTTTTGTGAGCACAATTCATTGCATTACAGAAATAAGGCTATTACATACTTGCTAATGATGGACGTGATGTAATGGCTAGTGTAGTTTGGCAACACTTTTGGCTCCTTCACCAAATTAATATTAGGAAAATATATAATAATAATAAACAGTACACAGTTTAGCCTTTAATACAATATTTAGAAAAAAAAACAAAACTTTTTTAATTTAATTTTAATGACAGGTGTTTTTTTTAAATCCAAGAAGTAAAAAGAAACATGGCGCTGAAATTATATTGTTAGATGTCATTTTATTATTAAAAAATTATATCACAATTCGGAATCTAATTCTAGCGTACGTGTTTGATCCTTAGTATACACGACTATGAATATTAAATCTAAATATAATAGCAACACTGATTTTAATACACAATATAATATTGAATCGCTTTAAAGTGGCCGATGTTGCGAATATCGATGTTAAAAAGTCTATGTTTGATTTCATCAAACTGAAAGTTGTACATAGACAACTATTTTTATTTTTAATCCGTGTTGTTATACAGTAAAATTTAAACAAAAAAATTAGAGACATGAGAAAAATACATGAAACATATTGTTTTGAAATTAAACATTTTCACCGACCACAAAGGAACCTTGATGTAACTAAACCAAACAAAATTTGTTCGGTTATGTTTTATGACGATGAACAGTTATAATAATGGACTAGAAAGCCTATTTACGAGCATTAAGATTTTTTAACATAAATCAGATAAAGTCATATAATAATTAGGCGATCCATTTTTATTTTATTACATTGCAATACTTAACGTCTAAAATTAATATGTTTTAAATAAAGTTTGGCGCAATATATTGCTGAGAAATAACAAGAGTTCATTTCTAAGATTATAATATTATAAATACATGAATAATGTACAGATTAAATTTAAAAGTCGTATTAAAGCAATTAAAATAAATTACAAATTACTGGATGTAAATGCAGAGTAAAATTGTCGTTTAGTTAAAAATTTAATGGTGTATCTATTTTGAAAATGGTTTCTAAATTTTTTAATCTGGGAAGTAGTCAAATAGGTGAGCGCAGCGGAAGACGAATGTGATCATTTGAGCAGATTAGAGAATAAAACATGGAGATGAAGTGAACCGAAATGAATACCGACCGTCCATCCACCGACGACTAACCAATACATATAAATGCGCGGTATTCATCAATTTGTAGCACATTTTTTGTACAAAAGGGGGCACAATAATAAATTGTTTCACATTATACCACATTCCGATTGTTTGTACAGCGCTCCAACCTCAGTATTGACACTTTGAACAAAAAGTCTATGGTTTTAATTAGTGTTAACCCTTGCCGTCGTGTGGTATGACGGCCACTGTGTTGGGTCTCTGCCTATCATGTGAGGCGTTGCCGGGGGCTGTGGGGGCTGCGGGGGCGCTGCGAGCGGTGGTCGGGGCGCGATGCACCTCCTCAGCAGTGGTCATCTTGCACTCGACCACGCGGTAGCTGAAGGCCGGGGCGCCGCTCTCGAGGTCTGGCCGCGGAGTCACCGCGTTCGGTATGCTCTCAAAATTCTTCGTTTCGTCTTTAAATGGCGGGCAGCTAGAAGTAGAGAATATATCGTTAATTTTTTCATTAGGAATCAAATACGCAGACTAGACTTGCGTATTATAAAAGTTAGAGAATATAGTGCACCCTATAGTTAATAGTAGTAAAATTTGTGTATACCTTAACGGTGGCGGAGTGGGCGAGCGTGATAACGGAAAGCTGGCAACTTCACGCGATATCGCCAGTGACTTGATTGAGCCGAACGTCTGCTCAGGGCTGAGCGGGGCACCCAGCACCGATGCCATCCCTCTATAAACATAACTAACAGTTAATATTAACCTCTACCAGATACTGGCAATAGCTCTACTGTAATAAGTACTTGTTAAAAATACAAATAATAAGGTTATGTAAGTACAACTCACACGACAGAATCGGACGGCACCAGGAAAGGCAAAGGTGGTGGGCATGGGGCGTCGGCGCGCGCTGGCGAGGCGGGCTCGGCGGAGCGCGGGCAGCGCGCCGGCCCGCACTCCGCCGCCAGTCCCAGCCACGTGCGCACGCGCAGCCACAGCCCTCGTGGGCTACCTGCAACAATCACACAACAATACAATTACTTAACATCATTCTTTTTGTAGAAAAGGCAACAGTAGTTCAGATGAAGCAGGTGTACATAGTGAGATGCAAATAGCTCTCTTTTATGGCTGACTTCTAAGACAGCTATGGATCCTAGTATTTATCTATGCTGACATAATATTATATGACGCACTTGTTTATTTACTCTACCTATTAAAACTCTTAGTATACTTACGAGAGTACTTCCTACTGTTCTGCGGACTGAGCGGGTAGAAGTCTCCGTGTATGGGGCAGTGGAACGCTAGGCGACGCTGCCGGCGTTGTGCCGCGCGCATCAACATGCACAGGACTATACCTAGAACGGTCGTCACAAACTAAAGATTTTTAAAGATGATAAACGTATCGTAATGGGTTATGCGTTGTAAAGATTCTCAAAACCATTCGATGGCTATTCCAAAGTCTGATTGTAGACTGAAACAACTAGCATTAGATAATGCTGAATCTTGCCATCTAAGAGAGATGTTATTACCTGCGATGGTCATGAGTGCACCGGCGACAATGCATACAGGGCCGAGAACGCGTGAGTTGCCGGTGAATGCAATGCGCGCCGCGTAGTGGTCAGGCTCCTCGTTCTCACCACAGCCGCGGTATGATGCCGCTGTAATACACGATACCATAGTGTTACATCTCACGTTATACGCTATTAAGATATAATCAATCGAAATAAAAATAGATGATAAAATAAAATTTTAATTGGCTCTATCGAAGATATTTAAATAACTTTAAAAAGCATTTTTATATATCGATACTGATGATCACGCTGATTCTAATTGAATTCTTGTCTAGTGTTATAAAAATGTCACTTCCTCATCTTCCATTTAATTGTAAATCATATTTCTAACAGTAAAGCCAGTTTAGTAAACCTACCGGTGAGTACACAGCCGACAAGCATGAAGAGGAAGCCGAAGATGGGCAGGATGATCTGGCAGTTGGCGGCGACGACTACGCCAGCCACTGCCAGGCCGCCTTCGACGCGCTCGACGCGCAGCCGTGAGAGCGCAGGTGGGCATCGCGGCTTGCCGCCCACCACCAGTGGCTCGCCCGGCGGCGACGTTGTCCTATAACATGAAAACAATATATTGATTTAAAGGGAGCTGATAAATTCCATTTGATGGTAAATAATTCAACTGCTATTGAAGCTATAATTAACGTGCTACGTTGTTGTGGAACTACGAATTTTTATAATCTACGTTTTGCGAACTGATTGAATCTGAAGGTCGTTTTATTATATCTTTATGCTCTCTTATAAATCACAGCCAGTATTCTTAATACATTTAGCACCTAAATACCCTTGCTAATAGTTTTTGAGGTGTTAACCGATAACACAACAAAATCAAAGGAGTATCCACAATGATTTTCATTCAGATTAAAAAGCGACTAATGCCACATTATCTTTACTGACCACTCTATTCAATTGTTGTTCGAATTAACTGTTATTTGTTGTTATTTACTGTTTATTAGTGTTTAATACTTTGAAAAGGTTATTTATTTAAAGAATACCAAGGTTACGATTACTAAGGTACTGTCTGCTTCATTGTTATAACTAAAGAAATAAAATATTACAACAAAAAAATTAAGAGTCGTAGGTTATTGTTGCGTCTACATCGAAATACAATTTAAAACAAATTAAAAAAATCTATTTGAAATTTGTTTCGATCTTGCTACTAAATGGATCAGAACACAGTAAATCGATTTCGTCAACTCAGCAGTACAAAAAACCGAAACGAATGTTCAAAACATCAGTTCCAAATACAGCTTTAGCTTGTGTTGTAAAAACATTCGGTTAAGGGTTTATTTTAGAAATGACAGTATGATCGTATTTATTCTCTCGACGCCCGAAGCTTTACGATCTCGGTGTGAGACAAAGCAGACGATGTGTGATTTTAACCATGATTTCAACGAGAAATAAAGAAGCTATATATTTTATTGAAAAAAAAACTATTTATTGGTTTTTAATGATAGAGATTTTAGTACAACACATTATATTTTTGGAAATGATACAAGGGAGTGGCGAATGACATAACGAATGATTAATGATATATTTGGATTTGGAGGACAAGAACCTAGTGCGCGAATCCTACATAGTATAGGATAAGGACAGAGAGATGTACTTTTCCTTGCCTTTAAAATTTGTACTGCAGTAAAGGACCTTGTCATCTTGTCAATAAATTATTCAAACATATAGAGTAATTTATGTCGAGGTAGTAAATAGTAAGTCATAGGCTTGCTATTCTATGTCAGCTAACAAAGTTGTTAGCGCGCCTGTTTCCCGATTTGGCAACATGTACGCAGTACAACTTTGCCTTACACATTTATAAAAACAAGGTCGTGCCTTATTTTAGAAGTAAATGTTCATTTTAAACAAAGAAAAAAAAAGATCTTTTTATTTGAAATGTTTACTTTAAAAAAACAAAACTTATTATGAGGAAAGTATCTTTGTAGAAAAAAGTTTGGTTTCCATATATCGTAATTTTCTCAACAAAAACAACTAAAATGAACCAAAAATATTGATTGCATTTAAGTAATGGTATTTGAAAAGTATCTTAATTTATTTCCTGATACCAACACTCGAACAAACAAAACAAATTTTATTGAAGATAATAATTTTGGTATGTAATGAATATCTTCAACGCTCCGTCCAGAAACATTCATGTTTTATTTATAAGGAAAACAAAGTACGCCGAAATATCGTAAATATAGGAGGTACCAATTTCTTATACGTCTTGCATTTTCAGTGGTTTGTAGTGACGCACGCACGCGGCGTACGTGATATCAGAATTTATTACCATACTTCTCTGTATACATTCCTTGTTTAAATGGCAAAAATAATTTATAATATTATTAATTATAATGATTTTAGGTATTTTCTATGATCAAGCACAGATAAAAATGTCCTATCCTTCAAATGTAATAATTTCGTTTTTTCGTCAACGTCTTGGTAAATATAATTTAATTATAGTGTTTTTTTCCTAGAAAACTTGACCAAGTATAAAAGATAACAAGGAAGAGCGAATAATAATTTGTTGCAACAAAAACGTAAACCTTTATTAGACGTTGATGGAGGCCATGATTGTTGCGGAACGACGATCAAAAGTTTTACGCTAGGAAATTCTAACCGAAGGGAATTTCACGCACCGTAAGATTTAACGCGTATTTTATTAATTATTAATTCTTACTTATGAAAGACACAGACGAATGAAATTCTTAAGTAAATTTTTAATATATTTAAACATGTTGATAAAATTGTATTGCCTGTATGTAATATTAAAAAAATCATATTTGGCAAACACCATGAATTTCGTTACAGATAATGAAAAACCAATTTTAAATTGTACTCTATCTATTTGTCCGTTCACAAGCCGTGTTTGTTCTTGGAAATCTGGACCGATTTTGGCGGGACTTTCACTGGAAGATGGCCGATGTCTGCGGACATATACTACTATTTTCTTTTTAATTTTAATTCCATGTTTACAAAGTCGAGGGCCACTATTAAGTTCTTATTATACATGTTTAGTTATATTACGCACCAGATTTACTTCCGTAGAGGATAAACTTCATGTATTCGTACCAGAATATTAAGAACATTAATAAAGTAAACAAAGTCAAGATTAAATCATAAGCCAATAGTACTATAACCATAATGTTATCAGCTATGTTGGCGCTATTTGAACACAAGGTAATATTCAATATACAAATTTATTATGAAAGCATGATATAAAATGTTTTACGTATTTTATCGTATAGATACAGATACATATTTTTGACTTTAATCATAAGCAAAACTAACCTTTGGATAGTCTTTAAATATTTGTCTTTAAAAAAGAAAATTTGGCGAATATTCAAGTGGCCTGGAACTATCCCGGGACAAGCGGCGCGACGCGACACGACGCGACCGACGACCGCACGTGTTTGGCCACGTGTTACCAACGTAAACCACTGCTATTTTACAGCTTTTTATATAATCTGTATTTGTTGCAATTTTTTGCTTTATGCAATAAGAATTAATACCGGATTCGTGAAGTAAGGAATTATTGTGTATTTATAACTGGACACAGATAAAATATTACAGTCAAAAGTTCACAGAGAAGAACACTTGTATATGTTATATAGAGTTACGAAGTAATCAGTAAGCAGATTGAGCTGTTACGAATAAAATAGGAATGAATTATAATACAATGGAAGAACGCGTAACAAAAAGTACAGTCACCGATTAAAACAATGAATTGAATAATGGACACAATAGACACATTGGTGTGGACTTTTGCATGGGCGGTATAAATCAAAATGAGACGTAACATTTCTTTCGGAAGTACTTATATAAGTATTCTCATGTTATGTTTACCATATCTCTTTTACTACATTTTATTCTAATATATTATACTTTCATATAAAAAATAAACTTTCCCGTTTATTATTGTACTATTACCCTGGCCATAGTGAATTGTTTTTATATTTGATTTGCCCATCATGAAAATTGAAGTGGTATTGCCCGACCACAAGATCCACCACTGATCATGTAGCTAACTGTACTTGTATTACGTAAAATTGTAGGACAATGAATGGAAGGAAGCGGCTACAACAATACGTCACTTCCGTTAATATTGTTTCCTAATGTTTGTGAGGGTTTATGAAGTACATTATTAAAATAAAAATAAAAAAGAGTAAAAATATCCGAGTAAGTTTGCTGTATTAAATGTTATTAATGTGTCGTGTTTAACCACAAATTTGGTATATTTTGTACGTTTCAGAATTTTATACAAATAGTTAGTAATTTTTTTTTAAATTTATTAAAGTGAAGCATTGTTCAATTACTATGAATAGCATTGCTAAAGCTATTGGAATTAATGATACAAAATAATTAGACGTATGTACTCGTATACTTAACGAAGGTTCATAATAAATTGTGTTAGAATGACAATATCCCATTAAAGTGACGTCACCGCTTGGCGGTACTTTGCCGCCAACGTACCACATATTATTATATTAAGATTGATGTTAGCAAATATTTTAGCAAACACTCACGCGCCAGCGAAAGTTTTATCTTAATTTGATTTACTTCATAATTTCTACATCAAAACATTATATATCTTGACAAGATGCGACTCGTAAATGTAACGAGTCTTTATTACATTTTGATATATTAATCCTATACTTAATTCAACTAATTTGCGTCATAATCTATTATATTTTTCATCAAGAATCAAGTATCAAGTGTGATCAAAATAAATGTCCCCATATAAGATTTTACGTGGCCAGTATTTTTAATAACTTAGTAGACATTTTAATGTCTTCATAAAAAAAATTAAATCTACCATTATAGGTTTAAATAGTTTTAATTGTGTTTTAGTATATCCGTCTCTTTCACGCTATCTTGCACTTTATCCAATGACTCAATAACATTATAACACGTATGCGTTTAATGGAATTCGAACCCGTGACTCAGTGAGTGGTTGTCAATCAATAGAGTAGTTAATTATGCGTTAAATAGGCTAGACTAGCGGACTAGCGGCTTAAGGCTGTGCGTCGGTGAATCTAACGGTCCTCTCAGCTGACTTCGACCAATGAGTTTCCGGTTTTGATTTACTTATACAGTAAGCCGTTGAATTTTATATTCACTCTGCGATAGGCATTTTAAAAAGAATTAGAGACAAGTTGAAACTCTATATTTATTTAATCTTCATCTTTCTGCCCTTATCCCACTCGCGAGGTTTTTTTTATTATATATACACGAGGGGTCGGCGCACTAGGTTTTATAAATCCTGATGTTTTGGCTTAATTCTATATTTATTTATGGTTATCATTACCAATATGAACAAGGAGAGAAATATGAAAGATAAAGAAAAGGAAAAATCTGTCGTGTCTCTATTTATCTATGGTATATTTTTAGGTTATCTACATCCATTAAAATCAAAATAATTCTAGCATATATTAATAGAAATAAAACATTCTGAATGAGACTGAATATTACTTAATATTTAGTCGCGCGTCACAAAGAGATATTTGTAAAGTGACAAGGCACAAGCCGCTGGCTACATCAAACCAAATACAAATATTAGTT